CCCTTCCTCGGGCCTCACCTTACTTATCCGTGCGTGGGCTGATGACTCTCAGCTGTGACCAATCAGCCCGTGATGAGCGTGTGCAGGTGTTCCTCGTCCGTTTCCAGGGCAACGCTGATGTGAGCTCGGGACGCTCGTCACAATATATATATGTATATATATATATATATATATACACATACATACATATGAACACAAAATGAACACATACATACATATATATACACATACATACATATATATATAAGAAATTTTTCTTGAGCACCAAATCCAGCTATATATTAAGATATTTTAATATATATTAAAATACTATGGTATTATAGCATTAAATATATTAAAGTAGAAAACAGTTATTTTAAATATTTCACAATATTACTCTTTTTACTGTATTTTAATCACATAAATGCAGCCCTGGTAAACATTAGCGACTTCATTCAAAAACACCCACATTTCTGAACGGTAATATAATTCACGCCAAAAAGTAAATTCTGCCATCATTTACTCATATTTGTTATTTAGTTTAGCTTACAAATAGTTCAGTTTATTATTAGTTTATGGGCAAAATATGATCATTAAAAATGATCTTCGTGATGGTTCGTGACACAACCACCAAAACATCAAACCACACATTAAATATAGCCATATGATTTGTGCATTATATATGAAGTCTTCTGAAGCCATGCAATAGATTTGTGTGTCCAAAAAGAGCATCTATGACCAAAAGTATGGACTACTATAATTAACATTTTTATTTTACATTTATGGTCACTTTGAACTGTCATTGTATGCAAAAGAGCTGCATGAACATTCTTCAAAAAATCTCCTTTTGTGCTCCATGGATCCAGTAACGGCGCACGTCTTGGAACGACATGAGGATGAGAAATTTATGACAGAATTTTCATTTTTGGGTGAACTTTAATTAAAATAAACAACATTTACCACAAAGAAAAGCATTAAAACATTCAAGCTTTCCCTCAAGTAAAAACTCCTCCTCAGCATCTGCACTACTTACAATTCTGACAACAAAGCAAACAAGAGTTTTTAATGACCCGAGACAGTGAGCATCTCAGGAATATAATACCTCGCAATATGTTCAGCATAAAGCAATAGATGAAATCACACAGCGTAACATATTTTCCAAAACACCCTGTATCTTAAGATGGAATCGTCTGTTTTTTTCACGTTTGATGTTTACCAGACGCCAATTAAAAACAAGCTCTGCTGAGGATTGGTTCGCCTCACTCATCCGCCTACCTACAGAAAGACTCAGCCTCGACTGATTTTTTTCAGCTCTCTGCTCATGTCAATCACCGTTCTTGCTCTCTGCAGCCTAGCAGCAGCCTACCACCCTATCCTCCTTTAGGAAACCGAACGGAAAAAAAGCATAAGCAAGTGTAAGAAAAAACACGAAGAAGAAACTGCCAATCTTCCAACTCGCAAAACACAGATCACAACATCACAAATATGTCGCTATTACGAAAATGTGACCTGAACCATTTGAATGCTCACGACAACAAAGGAACAGAAAGATCAAGAAAAAAAGTCACCAACAAGAGCACTTTCATGGGACAGAAAGTCTTGTGAAAGCTTTGAGGCCTTATTTGCCTTCAAAGTCCTCCAGCCATCCTGGGTGTAGGACGGGCTTAAGTGCACCAACATAAGGCCCAGCTCTGTGGGTGTCAGATTTTAGCCCACTAATCACAAGCTCAGAAGTCCTTCTCTGTTTTGGAGAGGCGTTCGTCCATGGAATGCGCTCTTTGCCAAAACCCCTTTTTGAAGTCGACCGCAGTTGTTATGATGAAACTTGGGTCTCATTTTGAAACTTGTCTCATTCTGTGACATCAAATAAGGAGAATTAAGAAACAAGAGCAAAACAAAGTGAAAATTTAGACCCTTAGTGTTTATTCATGCTTGTTTACAGTTAAAGGAATAGTTCACCCAAAAATTAAAAGTTGCTGAAAATTTACTCCAAGATGTAGATGAGTTTGTTTCTTCACAGATTTGGACAAATTTAGCATCGCTTTACTGTCATAATGAGAGTTCAAACAGCTGATAAAAACAATCATCCATAATCCACACGACTCCAGTCCATCAATTAACAATGGATCTTGTTGCAGTTGCATGTTTGTAATAAACAGACACTTTTATTACAAACAGACATTTATAGGCATTTTTTTCAACTTCAAACCATTGCTTCCGACTAAAATGCGAGTCCTCTTTTCATAATATTGCAAAAAGTCATCTCATCTGAATCGGGAGAAATATGCACATACCCAGTAACAATTGCACAGATCAAGTGAACGCAATTCAAAATAGTTCTAAATATGTGACGGTGGATTTTGATGTCAGAGGACAACAGTGGATGGACTTTTTCACTGGAAGAAGCATTATCATGGATTGTGGACTATAAGCCACAGTTTAAAGTTAAAACTCTTCTTGGATTAGTTTTTTTACAAACATGCAACTTTTTGCTTCACAAGACATTAATTGCTGGACTGGACTAATGTGGATTGCTTGTGGATCAATGTGATGTTTTTATCAGCTGTTGACTCTTATACTGACGGCACCCATTCACTGCAGAGGACCCATTGTTGAGCAAGTGATGTAATGTTAAATTTCTCCAAATCTCTTACGATGAAAGAACAAACTCAAATATATCTTGAATGGCCTGAGAGTAAATTTTCAGATTATCTTATTTTTGGCTGAACTATTCCTTTAAGGCATATTAACAATTAAGTTACAAATAATTGTGTTTCTATTAAGGCACGTTTCCAATTAATGTGTGGTAAAAAGGCTATCATTTCAAATCAGTAAAAATTTAAATTAAAACAAAAATCAACATTGGTATCTTAAATGTTATGATTATGCTAAAATAATCTATTTTTGCTTCTAATTTACCAGTAGCTCTTAGTATTCTCAACCAGTGTCATACAATGGTCACGTAACCAGTTGAGTTATTTTGTTAAAAGGCCCTTAACTGCGTCAAAAAAGGGACTTTCTGTACCTTAACAAAAACCACAAAGCCTTCCTCTAACCAACACTTTTTTTCTTAATACTTTCCCCTGTGGGACATAACCTTGTGACAGTCTGCTACAGCAACTGAAGATATAAGCCTCATTAGAGCTAAACGTGCAAGCAGCAAAATGACTGAAATTTTGTCATTTAACAGGTTGACTGAGAAAATAAATGCTCTCTTTCTGGGGCAACGAGGTTAGAATTCTTCCTAGAAACCAAAATGACAGCATCTGCATTAGTCAGATGCTTGCTGACTCCATGCAAGCGTAAGTGACAGTGGGTCTCAGCCTGGCGTGGGTGTGCCTGTCAGGAAAAGCCGCTGTTGTCTCTGCATCCTAGAGAAATGAGAAAGCAGCCGCCTGCTGTGTCTACGCCCACCACAAAAATCCCCCTTCCATTTCAAAGGGCGAAGACTGCACAGAGATGACATTTTCATCTGGTCTCCTCTAGATTTTGGTTTAACGTTTTTCTTCCCACTGCTTATCTTTGCTTTTGCTTCAAGACTGCTTTTGCAGGACTTGACATTTTAAGATGGCTTAAAATTGCTGATAGACAATGGATCTTCCACATTTTATAAATTTTACTAGTTAGCAACAATTAATTACGTTTGAGCATTAAAAGGCTCCCATATTTTGATCAATAAATTTTTTTAAATGATTTCACAGAGACTGCACTCACAAAGAGCCGATTGAATGCGTTAGAAATGTATATTTAATATAGAAATTTTCATGATTTTTAAGGTTTTAACAGGCAGACAATGCAATGTGCTCAGCCTTCTTCCAGTTTCCAGTGTTGTGAACAAATGGATGTAATATCAGAATAGTATTATTATCAGAATAGCTTCTTCTTGCATTTTTATACAACATTTAAATAAATTAAAAATTTAAATAAGCAGTACAAATCTATTGTATTCTGAACTTGCCAACTAAAACGAAAACATTTTTGCTGATTTAAGTAGGCCTAATGCTGAAATAAAATAAAATCTAAATATTAGATTGAAAAATTTGAAATGTTGAAAAGTTAACTGAAAGGTTAAAGCACTAAAATTACTAGGAAATAAATGAAGACTGATATAAAAAATAAATTAAACATAAATAGTAAAATTTTAAATAATAAAAATGACAAAAGCACAAAATTACTAAAACTTATGCTAAATTTAAAACAAAGACTAAAAATAAGAAGAAAAATAAAAACCAACTGAAAATAGGCCTACTATTAAAAACTACAATAATACATAAATCTAACTAAATGCTGTTGTTTATTTTTAAACCTTTGACTGCGGTTTAAGGCCGGACTAATCGAACACTAAACGCCACAATCGACTCCATTAAGACAATTTAAACTTTGAAATAGCTTTTAATGTGCTTTTTGTGTATTTAACCACTTTTTTTGTCATTTAGAGTTTTACATGATAAATTTTAATTGATAAATGAGTAAATTAAATATCGGAACCCATCATGCACTCTGCAACTGTTAGTCTGGTCTGGGTTACAAGAAGTCCACCGAATTTGAAACCGAAAACATTAGCTTAGCTCAATGCTAGCTTAGCGGATCAGTCATTAACCTGCTGTGTCTGTCAAAACCATCCATTTAACACAATAATCCACAAAAACATGGGGAAGTTAGTTGCTTTTATACCCGTTTTAGCACTTCTGTGTGCTTCCTGGCAAAGTGCAGAAGGAAACAAAGGCTATTCATACGCAGGTAAATGATTTGAGTCATATGCTAAACAGACTGCAGCACAAACAAACATAACTAACATTACAAAACAGTTACATTGTGTATAGTTGTTATTCGACATACCTTTATCTATGGGATTTTGAATGCAATAAAATCACTAGGTGCAGTTAAACTATTCTTTATTTGTGTTGTGAACATATGTGAGCTGGACATATGTATGTCAAAACCTAATGAGGTCTCTAAGTTACTTATACTTACTTTTCATACCTGTGATGCTTTCTAGATAGGGACCTTGTTATTTTGTAAAAAAAAAAAAAAGTTATATAAGTGTTACATACGTTAAAAAAAAAGACTATAAGGAAATATAACGTGGTATTTGGTTTTCCTGTCTTTTTTTATTTTAGAATAAGCAATATGGATTACAGTTTAAGTATCTGAGATTTTCAGCATCCAAACAACAATAACCAAACATAACTGGTTTGTCTGCATGTGTATGTAATCCTTCTAACCTGATAGTAATTTCTGACTGAGCATCTGTGAAGGTTAGTTGTGACTAATGAGGCCTTATTTTAGGCCCTGTAGTCCCTTATGGGGTCTGTTTTTCCTCATTGTGTCCAGTTTATGTCCATGATGAAAACAGTGTGAGAAGTGTTTATGCATTAAATGAATGTGTTCTTAGCACAGCAATTTAAATAATTTTTTATTAGGAACCATAGCAGACAGTGGAGTCATTCCAAATAAGCAGACTTGACAAGTTAGATTCGTGGATTATAACTAGAGGTCGACTGATACTGGATTTTACAGATAACAATAACTAAGTTGGATTGCACTGGTTGATAACCAGTTAGTCAGTCCATACTTTTTACAATGAACACTGAATGAAAACAAACATAACTCTCCCAAGTAAAATAGTGCTGAACTTTATTACAAAAATAAAAACCGTGAACCATGAAAATGTACTGTACTTTTTAAATATTAATTAGACCTATACCTTGATCATTCATGTTAGTTCACAGTGCATTAACTAATGATAACAGATAGAACTTTAAAATGTATAAATGTATCAATAAATGTTGAAACAATGAACAATGCTTCTACAGTATTTATTAACCTTGATGTTACAAAAAGACTCTTTTTGGTAAAGTGTTACCATTTCATATAAATCCAAACAGAAATATTTTAGATGCAAAGTCGGCAACACCAAAGCTCCAAAAGTATCAAAAAATTTATTTTTTAAAAAGACTGTCGCATAGCATATGTTTTTTTGACGCTTCGAACACGCAGGCTCTTCATCAGACAAATGAACAACACTGATATCGCAAACTTTATAAGCCTACCTCCAGGTGATCAAAGGTCACATGACCATACAATATTATCGTGATAATAATAATACCAAAACAATAACATATCAACCAAGAAGAAAATATTTCTACTTGTTTTTTGGTCGAGCACCCAGTTGAGATCGATGTGCGTGCTTTTGCCTGCTCTTCAATATAAATCCAAACAGTCATGCCTTTAGATGGCCATCTTTATCTACACAAAGGCCATAGCATTATTATTTATTTAATTATTAGCTTACCATCAACTAACAAATCTCCTGCAGTATGAGGAGATTTATGAGCCCCAGTTTGGGAAACCCTGCCGTAAGTGATACATCTATTTATAAATGAACAATATAAATTGTGTGAGTAATACTGTTGGATAGAAGCAGCCACGCATGAGCATGTCAGGTTTTTAGAAAGTGAGGATGCTGCAGTTGTATTAGTTCAGTGATTAGGATGAATTTAGTCTGTGGGCAGAAGCTCTTCTGGAGCCAGTTGGTCTTTTTCTGGGATGCTTTTGTACTGTTTTAGACATAGAAAAGAAGAAACGGATGATGGGGATTGTTAAATCAAAGCAGAGGAGTAACTCTGATCCTTCCCTGATTCTGACAGATTGTACCTATGTGAAAGGAGACAGTGCCCACGAGCATTCTGGGAGTCGGTGCTTCTGTTACAGCCCTGGTACAGTAATCAAATGGAAGGACATCTGGTCCACCTTCAAGGTAATATTACATCCTGCTGTAATATTATTTACTCTTAATGTAGTGTTTTTTAAATTCTTTTTTTAATTGGAACAACATAGGGTGAGTAAATAATGACCCAAAAAATAATTTGGGTTAACTCCCTTTAAATTGAATGCTGACAAGACACATGTTGTTCACAGGTAAACGTGACGAGTGATAATGACGTCTTTGTCGTGTTCCCGATGGAGACGGGAAATTGCCACCTTCCGGATGATGTTCTGACTGTTATTAACTGCTTTGTTGAACACTACTGGCCGTCCACTATCCAAAGGGAGAAGTCTTTGGACATTCCTCTGGTTGATAAAGATGTCTGCTTCATGACCAAGTCACCTAGAAGCAATACTGAGTATACACTACACGTCTCCAACAAAAGTGAGCCAGAAAATCACTCACACTTTATTCTTACAAAGAGTAGTTTGGCATTGAATCATGATCGTTTATGTTCTTTTACAGGGTTAAATAGAATGTGCTTCCTGCTTTTTGTGTGTGGGCTGGTGCTGTTTTTCGGAGCGGGAAACATATGCAGGTAAGTGGCAATTTAGCTGTAGTTGTAGATGTTCTCATCTAGAGATATTCTGCAGTAGAGTGTCAGATTTAATTCTGATCAAGGGTTGTTGTTTTTTCCGCAAACGAATTACACCACCTTAAACTGGGATAAGATAAAGTAGTTTAATATAAAAATGACACTACATTTTAAGGAATTGTTCACTTAAAAATTTAAGGCATTTTCTGAAGAATCTTTATTCAGCCTTTTTTTAATAGAGACCAGAGACCATGGTAAAATTGGTCAGTGCACCTTTTTGTGGTATATTCTGAAGTCATCATCAGTTGATGCCAGCTTGTGCTGTCTGGATAAGGGATATTCAGTTCAGTACATGATTTAAAATGTATAAAGCCTTTATTAAAGTGGTTCTCAACTAGGGGGCCGCACACTTCAAAGAGTGCTGCAAGATGGCTTAAAATGAGTGCTGTCAAACGATTAATCGCATTCAAAATAAAAGTTTTTGTTTGCATAATATATGTGTGTGTACTGTGTATATTTATTATGTATATATAAAGACACACACACATATAGCATATATTTTGAAAATATTTACATGTATATATTTATATTCATATAATTTATATTATATATAAATACATTTAATGTATAAACATAGCATATTTTTCTGAAATATATACATGCATGTGTGTGTATTTATATAAACAATAAATATACACACAGTACACACACATATATTATGTAAACAAAAACATTTATTTTGGATGTGATTAATCGCGATTAATCATTTGACAGCACTACTTAAAATATATTTTTTAAAAGCTTTCAAACCAAGCTTTAAACTAAATAAACAGCTAAACAATTAAACAACTAAAAATAGGGTCAATATTATTTTACTTCATGGCCATTTAATTGTAATTTTTTTTTTGCGGTGTAAAATAATAGAAATGTAATGGAAATTTCTGTAATTAATGTGATTTTTTTTATGTCAAGCTTTAAAATATTATAACAGGCAAAAATAGCTTCATCTGATTGAAATAATGCAAAACCTTATCCCATAATCATGAACATCCGGAAGCGCCATGTAATTGCATTGGTCATAAAGTGTGAAATACATTTAGTTCTTGAAATGCCTGGAATGACAGAGTTTATAAAATTTTTATTAATTTTAATATTCTGTAATTGTTTCAATATATTGACACTTCTAGTTTTTGTAAATTTAAAAAGTTTAAAAGTGAAACTAGCAGCTTTGTCAGCTGAAGTATATTAGCTCACATGGGGGGGGCTTTGAATATGCTCTTGAACAGTGGGGGGCCTTGCAGTTAAACTGTTTGCTGAAAATCTGTCTGTCTACCAATGCTCTGAAGTCCCACCTGCATTAAGATTGAAAATTGTGTGCATTCCACACATGATTTGATGATAAAAAGGCAATGGATTTCACGTGTGTTGTAACTAGGGAAGCTTTTTCTTGAATAACAAGCTAAATTTCAGTGATTTTTCTAATGCAAAAAATATTATATGAATATGGTGCACAAGTCATGTGGACTACTTTTATGTAGCTTTTACAGTGCTTTTTTGTCCTTTTTGAAACTTGACAGCTATGGTCACTTTAAATGGATATTTAATTCATTTGTGGTTGAAACTTAAAACTTATTATTCTAACCGACTCTTCTTGTTTTCCAGGAGCCCACTGTTCTTCTACACCACTGGAGTTATACTAGGAGTCATCGCCACATTTGTTTTCCTGACGCTTGTGCTCCGAAACTTCGTACCAAAGGTGTGTAATGCTTCTGTCACAACCTTGATCATGATACACAGTATCACATGTTTCCTCACACTGATCAAACATGTTGGATGAGTAGTATGAGTTTAAGCCTGTCATGCTGGCATTGTCTCCGCCGATGAGATTAAAGATAAAGGGAGGTGGAGACTCACTCCTCGACACAAACATCCTCAGGCATGTACATCATCGTAAGGATTTGCTGTGCAATCAATTACAGAATGATTGGCAGCTCACAGTTTTGGGGCAGGTCAGAAGGTCAAGCACATTCACTAAGGCTTTGTTTTTCCCCCCCAGCGAGGCCTGTTCCTGGTGTTGTTGGGCGCTGGCTCTGGTCTGTCCTACATGGGGATCCAGAGGGTGTTAAGTGAATGGGATGACATCATGACTGAGCACTGGATGGAATTACTGGGTAACTAGGCAACCCTTTTCTGTTACAACCCATCTTGCCCTGTTTTCCTTTGCAATCATGTCATCAGCTAATTACATCAGACAGTAAGCCTTCGCTATTAATGTTAATAAATGGTCTTTCAAATGTACCTTTTGTACAGTTTTGCGTTTCAGTCGAATGCCACGTGTTGTCTGGTAATTTGCTTGACGTGTTCTTTATACAATAGAATAATTACTGTACATGTCATTTAGACAGATTATCCTTCTACACTCTCGCTGCATGTTTCATCAGCTGAAGCGCTCGCATTAGTACATGCCAGCATCACATAGTAACAGTTTAGAGCAGATTGAGATTCACCTTTTGTATCGTATATCTTGGCTCCGTTAGTGTTATAATATATGAGGGCCAAGTATTTTGAATGCTGAAATGACTGCCTCTTGACTGCTCAATAGACTCTATTCTCTGCCAAATCAATTTCCCTCTTCAAGCACTCGCAGTATGTAAATGCATCGGTGTTTGAATGCGAGAACCACAGGCATAGATTAAGGGAAAGAAGCTGCAGTGCTGCTGGAACATTGATTTCTATGCCTAAAACAAAAAGGCTCTGGGAGGATTACAGCCCCAGTGAATGTCTGCTTTTTTGGCCCTTTTATTTCATCTTTGTTTTTCTTCTTCTTTGTTTTCTCAGATCTACTGTAACATTAAAGGAAATGTTCAATCAAAACGGTTAGGAATCACTTTATAGTGAGTAAATAATGACACAGTAAATTAATATAACCAATTTTGTTACATTTATTTATCACCATTGTTCTTTGGATTGTATAATAGAGTATTTAGCAATCCATTGCTTTGTTGCAGCAATAGCCCATAATGTTTGCATTCAGTGAGTGTAGTAAGCTTGGCAAATATACCACATGACATCCATTATTTTATATTTATGTTACACAGTCACACAATGCACATTTTAGCAAGTGAAAGCTTGCCTTTAAGGAATGGTTCAACGTGACACTGGGTTGTTTCAATGTGTATAGATCTATTGTGACTGTTGCAACCTGAGTGTTGTATGTACGTATTATTACTGTTGCTTTATGGGCTGTTTATGACAGGCAAGCTCAGGCAGGCTGCTTCTGAATGACACAAATTGGGTGTGCTTTTTTATTGTTACCTTACTACATAAAATGGTAAGGTGCTGTATGTATGCATGCATGTGTAGGGAGGTCAATAATACCAAGCTTGTGTTTGAATGCGAGAACCACAGGCATATTAAGATTAAGGGAAAGAATCCGCAGTGCTGCTGGAACATTGATTTCTATGCCTAAAACAAAAAGGCTCTGGGAGGATTACAGCCCCAGTGAATGTCTGCTTTTTTGGCCCTTTTATTTCATCTTTGTTTTTCTTCTTCTTTGTTTTCTCAGATCTACTGTAACATTAAAGGAAATGTTCAATCAAAACGGTTAGGAATCACTTTATAGTGAGTAAATAATGACACAGTAAATTAATATAACCAATTTTGTTACATTTATTTATCACCATTGTTCTTTGGATTGTATAATAGAGTATTTAGCAATCCATTGCTTTGTTGCAGCAATAGCCCATAATGTTTGCATTCAGTGAGTGTAGTAAGCTTGGCAAATATACCACATGACATCCATTATTTTATATTTATGTTACACAGTCACACAATGCACATTTTAGCAAGTGAAAGCTTGCCTTTAAGGAATGGTTCAACGTGACACTGGGTTGTTTCAATGTGTATAGATCTATTGTGACTGTTGCAACCTGAGTGTTGTATGTACGTATTATTACTGTTGCTTTATGGGCTGTTTATGACAGGCAAGCTCAGGCAGGCTGCTTCTGAATGACACAAATTGGGTGTGCTTTTTTATTGTTACCTTACTACATAAAATGGTAAGGTGCTGTATGTATGCATGCATGTGTAGGGAGGTCAATAATACCAAGCTTGACATTTAAAAATTATGTTGACATTTTCTCTTTTCTCTTTCTCTGCAGTTTATGTGCTAATATCTGGCTTATTTAGCTTTGCTGTATGCTATAAACATGGCCCCATCACCAACAAACACACCCTCAACTTTATGACCTGGTGTATGCAAGTAGTGGGCATGGTTTTGGTGTACTATGGGATCACATTCCCCCCTGCCTGCTACGTACTGATCATGTTCCTGTTGTGCTGGAAGATTGTGCCCTTGGCCTGGAGCCTTCTGCACTTGATCTGGAGTCTTCTAATGTGGATTTGCAGGTAAGAAAAGCACCACAAACTGTGAAACAGGAGAGAACATTTTAGGGCAGGTCTTTGTATTTTCCCCATCCAATTGCATTCAAAAACTGATCATGGTTACTTACCAAAATGAAGCCAGGAGGTTGGAGGAAAGAATTAAAAAGGGCTGGTGACACTATACTTTTTGTTCCATTGACTTCCATTCACACAAAAGCGAATACAGGAGACAGAAGCTCATGCTAATTTTGCTGCGCACCAAAGTTCAAGTTTGGTGAACTCTGCCCTGCGAATTCGTATGACGTGAAAACATGGTGTAACCAATAGTAGATTGATAAGTCACGGCATGACGTCTTACAGATTTAAAGTTTCATTATTTTAATTCAGCTAAGAATGCAGCATTGCAATACAGTGGAGTAGATTGCATAATTTTTCATTTTGGATGTGTAACATGTTGAATTCTCTTTTTAAAAAAAGACTCCAAGATTATGCTCAAAGTCTAGCGTTACCACGGTTTAAGAAGGATTCATAATGTCAGCCAAATTAGAAAGTTTTCCCAGAGACAAAATCAATGTTTCTTAACATATTGGCGTCACACACAAACACACACACACACAAAATCTTCAGTCTTCTTTTTTGCTTTGTGCAAATAATGTGCAGAGATGAATTGTACACAATAAGACATGCATTAAGAAAAATAAATATGGTAATTTTGAGTTCATGCTGACTAAGTCTAAGATGGAAACTGAAAGCTAATCGTATGCTGAAATTAACCTTTGAACAGGTGAAATAGGCCTATGTAATCATAAAAATGTGCATGTATTAACTTTGACTTTCTGCCTTCAGTCTCTTTTACTCATTCCTGGGCTTGTTCTGGAGGAAGAAACGGCCCAAGGTCAGGCTACTGACTGAGGAGGAATACAGAGAGCAGGGAGAGATCCACACCAGAGCCTCTTTGGATGAATTACGGGAGCACTGTAACAGGCCTGGCTTTCCTGCATGGGACACTGTGTTGAGGCTGCGATCACCACATAGGTATTTATATTTTGTATTCATCAAAATAAGCATGTTCAAAGGTCACACGTACTGTATACATCCCATTTTATTTAATGATGTTCCTCACCAGTTGTTTCTGCCTCTTTCAGGTATGCAGAGTTTCTGCGCAGTGGCAGCCACATCACCCAAGAGGAGCTTCAGAATCATGAGAATCAGTACGGGCTTGGCGGGGCGTACTACGAAAACGTGCTCTTTAACAGCAGCTCCAGCGACACCCAGTCGCACAGAGGAGAAGCAGAGGACACTAGTGAAGACGAGCTGGAGAGAAACAGTCCTCCAACCCACAATAACGTCCCCAGTCCTGATGTATATACTCCAGCCGTCTGCCCATATCCCCCTGTCACCTACACCCCTCAGCCAGAACCCATGGATCCAGAAGACCAGGATTTCTTTTAAAATTGTCCTTCTGTCTGTAGGATGAGTGATTTTATGTTCATTTTAAAGAGACTTTTTTAATTGCAAAATATTTTTAGGAAGGAATGACTCTAAGGAACATTAGTAGGTCCATAAGGATTGTAAATATAATCTTTAGCTCTCATTTGCGTTTAAATTATCTCTTTCAGACGGCGTGGGCTGTTATATTTTTTTAGCAGGAGTTTGTATTCTACTTACCCAAGTGATGCAGAGCTGGGAATAACACCGTATTGTACATACTGTATGTTAATAGATAGTGACTGTGCTGCTCTTAGGTATATCAGATCATCAAGACATCATTGCAGTCGCTAAAACATTTGCCTCAAATGCTCAAGACAATGACTCAACACATACAGTACCACAGCATTTATGTAATTTAAGGAAACAGTGTCCTCTAGTGTTGGTTAATGAAACAGTTCACTTATAAGTGCAAATTGTGTCTGTTGTTTACTCGTCCCCATCTTAATCTAAACCTCTATGTCCTCATTGGAACAAGTAGGGGACGTTTATCAGAATCTACAAATTATCATATAGTGAAACTAAACGAGGACATACGGTTCCTAAAAGCTCCAAAACTGACATCAAAGCATCTTAATGGCTTGCGCGTTCTGTTCCATGTCTTCTGACGTCATATGAAAGAATAGCAGAACGTATTATTATTGAATAACAACTTAAAATTTGATCTATTTATCACACAAAGCTATCCTAGTGGCTGTTCAAAGAAAATTCGTTTTTACATTCCACTATGCTACTTTTTCATTGTTTTTTTTTTAATGTAATTATGAACTAGCTATACATGTTTGAACATTGAGTTGACTTTTCGCACCTTTTTTAGCACCTACCGGAAGATTCACGCAGAATGAGCTTTTGCGCTGGTTTTCCTTTGCTTTTCTATATAAACATGCGGTAGACTGACGCGTTTGACCGCTTTTAATTTAGTTTTTTCATTCCACTGCCCCTTGTGGCTTTAGAAGACATGGAAAATAGGGCAACATGACTAGGTTTATGGTCCTTTTTTTGTCGTTTTTGGAGCTCACAAATGATAAAATTATAGGAAACCTCAAGGGACATTGTGATTAAAAAGCTTCTGCTTTTACGCACAATTTTGGCGTTCTCCCTAGAACCTTTTTCATTGGCAAAATGTTTGTATTCCCCCCCAGAAACTTTGTTTTTGGGAGAATGCAAAGGTTCTTTGGGAGCACAAAAGCACTAAAATATTTTTTCCTCCCATCTGATATATATATATATATATATATATTATTACTTTCAATCACCATGACCTTTAGTGCAGGGATGTCCAATCCTAGTCTTGGAGGGCCGATATCTGAGTGGATGGTGCATCAACTCATGCGGGTTTACATATCTACATGCTGCCATTTCAATTATTTCCTTTTTATTGAACTTTTATCTGAAGAATGTATGTTATTATAAACATTTTAAGTTTTTACAGTCTTTTATATTGCCATCTAATTTAATTAAAAAAGACAAATGGCTAAATTCTCAACCAGAATATTGTATTGTTTCATCATATGTAAACATAAGCAGAGGTCACTTATACACAAAGCCGCGAGGCAGATGGTTTCAGACACCATATAGTGCAAATCAATACCTTTTGATGGTTTGTAATAGCTACTATACTCTTGGTTTTATGCATAACTGCGTATATTTAACAGAACAGAGCATGGCTTTTACATATTATATACAGAGTAGATGCTTTTATATTTAAATTTGGTCACAAGAAATATGGAAGCACGATTAGCAAAATAACATACAGAGTGCAAAGCAACTATGCTTCTCTATTGCAATGTCAAGTCCCATGTATATTACACTGAAGCACCTCAGCTGTTGGATTATAAGCATTAAACGCTCAGTAATGTGCAGATCTCCTCATAGACACTGACCTTCAAGCATTCTGTACAGAGACTCGCAGGCCCTTTGTGACTAAGGCAAGACATCAACTGTGGCAGTGCAAAGCATATTGATTTTATCGCCTCGGAAAACAAATCCCTCGCTAAAGTAGAATACCTGTAGGTCAACATAATATTTTTTTGGTCCAAAGTCAGCTGTCACCTTTCACACCCCGTAACATGTCTCTAAATCATAAGGCTATATCCCAAAGAGGTTCAGTTGATCTTGGATTGTGGTTGTGCTTTCGGAGGCTGCTGTTTGGAGTGCCCTGGCAATGGTGCGGAGTTCTCTACTGGTTCGTTTCTCCCTGCGGATGGAGACGGTTTTTCCACAGGACGGACAGGATGTGTGTTTAGAGGAATGAATGCACTGGTAGTAGGTCCTTGGGAGAGATATTCTGCTGGACTTAATGTATCGGGTTGCGAAGATGTGGATTCATCAGCAGGTGGCATCGCTGAGGTTTGCTCATTTGTCTCCTACAAGAGGAGAACATAAAGGTTAAACATGTCAAATAAATGATTGAGGTAAGGTACACTTTATTTGTTAAAGGGTGTGCAAGAGTGATTTTTAAAAACATGTTTAAGTCACATTTTACCCCAAAATTTAAATAAACTTAAAATTAAGCCTTTTTTTTTAAACAATTTTATGATTCTTTACATTGTAATATTATATTCATTAATATTGTGATATTTTCATTTCCCCTCTCAATTCTCATTGTCTTAATGCATCTAGATGTTTAAAAAAAAATTTTTTTTTAAACTATTCTCTATAGGGTTAAGATTAATGATAGCTTTTTATTGTAATAAATATAAAGGCAGTATAACAAAAGCATAAAGCTTTTTAAAGCATAAATCCTAAAATGTAAATAATATATTTTTATTAATATTTGAGAATCACAGAAAGTCACAAAAATCAATTGATAATACAAAACAAAAACTAAGTGGTTCTAAAAAAGAATTTATTTTAATAATATTTTTTCCTCAATTATCATTACATTATATCTAGATTTAACATATTTTTCATTTATTTTTATAGGGTTAAGGCTAAAGTAAATAATACTGTATTTTTTAAATAAAAATAGTACAATCAATTATTACTACGATGCATTAATACTTAATAAAAAATTTTTATTTATATATTTATTTATCATTTTTCTCCCAAGCTTTAACAGAACACTTTATACAATTAAGGTTATAACTTTTCCCCCATGATGAACCTTACCGCCAAAATAATTAAACAAAATAAAATAAAATTGCAAAAAACAACAACAATAAGAATAGGCCATTTAGGAAGAATTAAAACAAAACAAAATAAAAATACAAGATAAACTTTACAATATTGTACACATTCACACATGAACAATATCATTATAGGAATAATAAAAATAAATAAATAAATAAAATAATTCATTTTTAATCAAACTTTGAGAACATGTGGTATAAATATCACCAAAAATATAATATTTTGGGGTGAAATATGACCTAGACAGGTTCTTGGACATATTTCGTGAGACTCACCAACCAAGCATTTGTTTGACTTCAAATATGAGTCACTGCTTATAAAAATAGTGTACCTTCCAGTTTAGTTCTTGTTTGTCATCTACAATGCGCCAAATGCGACAGACACAGACGCCCATATAACAGCATTTCCTGATTTTAAACATTTGCTCAAAAATTAAAATACACAAATATTTCAGTTGACGTTACAATAAAGAGCTTTATCTGAAGCCTTGACATGTAATACTCTCATGCAGAGAAGAGAAATTTGGACACAAAGTAGCTGAAGCACAGAAGTGTGTTTTAAGAAAAGACAAACAAAACTGACAACAGAAAAGCGTTTATTTTTAGTAAGAAGTGGGTTGTACAATGGTGTTAGTAAGACTTACGTAAATGATCCAAGAATACATTAAGAATGAGAGAGGAACAGTGACAGGACTGCATGCATTTTTGTGTAAAAAAATCAAAGTGCAAAGGCAGATTTTTTTCTCACCTTTCCCCTGAGAAAATGACAGCATGAATGCAAAGAGAAAGATTGAACAATTCAGTGAAGAGATCAGTATGAAATTGGTTTTCACAATAATTACATACCAAAAAGCCAAGATGACAAATTAATAGATATAAATAAGAAAATTAGCAAGAAAAATTTAATGAAATGTTATTAAATAGCAAGAGTGAAACTTTCACCACCTCCTTACGTCCACATCCCAAATCACAAAGGGTGCCACCCTACCTGCGGGGCTTGACTTTCACCACAGGGGTCGTTCTTTGACAAAGCGACCCTATCTCTGATCTGATAGAGGGCGAAAGCGATGGTGACCCAGGGGGAAGCAGAGACCACCCAGGCCGGCTTGTTGGTATCTTCTTGCTCTTCCTGATTCCTGGTTTTCTTAGGAGGCGTCTTTGATTCGGGGTTTGGCTGAGATGCGGATTGGTTCTGGACTAAGTCAATAGTGGCGATAGGCACTGGACTGGAGGGAACTGGGATGTTCTCAGCCAACATCGAGCCCTCTGTAAAAGAGCACAGAGACGTAATCAATAAGCTGTCGCAGGTTTTACTGCAGCAAAATGACCTTGTTGTTGTAAAACAGCAGGATGAAACATACTTTTATCCTCGTTCTGACCAAACAGCCACTGTATCAGAGAGAAGATGAGTAATGTGACCAGAGAGGCCATTCCGAGGCCTCTGAAGGTTTCTGCAGCACCTAAACAGGAAGTTTGCAAGATGAAAAAGGAAGCTTGAGAGGAAACAAGCCTGAAACTGTAAGATGAAAGTCATTCACACTGAAAAGCACAATCGGAAAGTGTTCTTTTTGATATATATATTCAGTGGGGGGTTCCAAAAGTCTGAGAATTTTATAAAATTTTATATATATAAATATTATAATACTCTCTCTCTCTCTCTCTCTCTCTCTATATATATATATATATATATATACACACATACACACACATTACACGTACATATATTTATACATACACACACACACACATATATACATATATATATATAATCCATAGCAGTGTGAAATATAATTACAATTTAAAATAACTATCTTCTATTTGAATATATTATAAAACTTAATTTATTTCTTTGATGGCAAAGCTAAATTTTCAGTAACCGTTACTCCAGTCTTAAATGGGTGGTTCACTGGGTCTAAAGCAGTGCAGCATGGCCTCGCCCCCTTTGCTGCGTGTTCCCGGAGGCGGGGTTTATGTAAAATTCTAGGTTTGTGATGTCACGAACCCGGGAAGTAACTCGTTGTAGTCCCGTGAAAAACGAGCTGTTTTTGTAGGCATTAAACTGCCAGAATTTTAAAAGACGATATCTCCGTTTGCATTGAACTTTCAGCTTCGTAACTTTGCAGATATTGTTTATGCTCAAACAGCAACATTAGACACTAACTAACATTAAAAAAGTGAAATCGCAATGAACCACCCCTTTAAGAAAATCATTGCTCCTTCAGAAATCATTCTAATATGCTGTTTTTGCTGCTTAATATTTTTGTAGAAACTGTGACATTTTGTTCAGGATTCGGGATGAAAATGAAAATTTGAAAAAGGTTTTTTTTAGATTTAGATTTTTTTTTTAGAACATTGTTACTTTTGATCAATGTAATGCATCCTTGTTGAATAAAAATATTAATTATTTTCCCTTTATTTACCCCAAAATTAATTGGTGTATCAAAGTTTTCCACAAAAATATTAAACCGCAAAAAACTATTATCAACACTGATAATAACAAATGTTTCTTGAGGACCAAATCAGCATTAGAATGATTTCAAACAGCAACATTAGACACTAACTAACATTAAAAAAGTGAAATCGCAATGAACCACCCCTTTAAGAAAATCATTGCTCCTTCAGAAATCATTCTAATATGCTGTTTTTGCTGCTTAATATTTTTGTAGAAACTGTGACATTTTGTTCAGGATTCGGGATGAAAATGAAAATTTGAAAAAGGTTTTTTTTAGATTTAGATTTTTTTTTTAGAACATTGTTACTTTTGATCAATGTAATGCATCCTTGTTGAATAAAAATATTAATTATTTTCCCTTTATTTACCCCAAAATTAATTGGTGTATCAAAGTTTTCCACAAAAATATTAAACCGCAAAAAACTATTATCAACACTGATAATAACAAATGTTTCTTGAGGACCAAATCAGCATTAGAATGATTTCTGAAGGATCATGTGACACTGAAGACTGGAGTAATGGCTGTTAAAATTCAGCTTTGCCATCACAGGAACAAATTACATTATAAAATATTATACATTAAAAAAAACAATTATTTTAAATTGTAATATTATTTTACAGTTTTACTGTTTTTATTGTATTTTTTGTCAAATCAGTTTTAAGTTAGACATTTACAAATTAAATCTAAGAATTTATTCATATTTAACAAACAAACAAACAAAATCAATCCATCATGCAATATTTTCAATTTGGTCTCAGACTTTTGGATACAGAATAATGTAGAATTCACTTTAACTACAAGAGTCTGAATCTTTGTAACTGTGTCTAAATATATAACAGCATCAAAGCATGCATGAGGCACATGTGTGGAATGTCTGTGATGTCACATGGTCTTTGTTGATGTCATACCGAAGTAGTTCACAAAAACCCCTCCTAGCATGGCTCCACAGCCTCTCCCCAGCCCCAGGTGCAGCCCCTGCAGGATCCCCTGAGCCGACGTGCGCAGAGCTGGAGGAACAGCAGCGCTCAAATACGAGATGCATGCCGCCCACACTGCTGCATGTGTCAAACCTGCACGACACATCAACATGAATAAACACTTGTGCATCTGCTTGAATGGATAAACATAGACTACTCATGTGTTCTTTGTAATACATATGAACCACAACAATAAGACAACATTTGTGACCCTGGACCACAAAACCAGTCATAAGGGTCAATTTTTCGAAATTGAGATTTATACATCATCTGAAAGTGGAATAAATAAGCTTTCCATTGATGTATGGTTTGTTAGGACAATATTTGGGCGAGATACAACTATTTGAAAATCTTGAATCTGAGGGTGCAAAAAAAAAATAAAATTGAGAAAATCGCCTTTAAAGTTGTCCAAATGAAGTCTTTAGCAATGCATATTACTAATCAAAAATTAAGTTTTGATATATTTACAGATGGAAATTTACAAAATATCTTCATGGAACATGATCTTTACTTAATATCTTAATGATTTTTGGCATAAAAGAAAAATCAATAATTTTGACCCATACAATGTATTTTTGGCTATTGCTACAAATATACCCCAGCGACTTAAGACTGGTTTTGTGCTCCAGGGTCACATTTGCAGTTGATAAACAAACAAATATGAATAAAATGTTGAAAAGCATCTCTGTACAGATATTACGTAATATGACTTCAGTCTGCTACATGGGATCATTAATCAGGAACCAAATGCAAAAACAAAATAGGAACAAAAAACAAAAACGCAAAATATTAATAATTAAAGCTGAGAGTCAGCAGTATAACATGTTATTTTAGCCTATGTCATAATAGTAAGTGAAAATTCAATAAAAATACTTTATATATTAAATAACTATATAGTAATGCCTGATTTGTATAATTTAGGGCATTTAAAGGGATAGTTCACCCAAAAATGAAAATTTGATGTTTATCTGCTTACCCCCAGGGCATCCAAGATGTAGGTGACTTTGTTTCTTCAGTAGAACACAAACGGAGATTTTTAACTCCAGCCGTTGCAGTCTATCAGTCGTATAATAATGCATGGCAATGGTAACAAAATCTATGAGAGTAAAAAAAAACATGCACAGACAAATCAAAATTAAACCCTGCGGCTCGTGACGACACACTGATGTCCTAAGAAAAGAAGTCTCTTCTGCTCACCAAGCCTGCATTTATTTGATCTAAAGTACAGCAAAAACTGTAACATTTTGAAATATTTTTTACTATTTAAAATAACTGTTTTCTATTTGAATACATTTTAAAAGGTAATGTATTCCTGTGATTTCAAAGCTGAATTTTTAGCATCACTACTCTAGTCATACGATCCTTCAGAAATCAATCTAATAATCTGATTTTCAACTAAAAAAAAAAAATTATTATTATTATTATTATTGTTGAAAACAGCGGAGTAGTATTTTTTCAGGCTTCTTTGATGAATAGAAAGTTCAGAAGAACAGCATTTGTCTGAAATAGAAATCTTTTATAAACATTATATTATATAAACATTATAAATGACATTATCATCACTTTTGATCAATTTAAAGCATCCGTGCTAAAAAAAGTATTAATTTCTATAATTTCTTTACCAAAAAAATGAATGGTATAATGTTACAGAAGCTTTTTATATCAGATAAATGCTGATCTTTGGATCTTTCTATTCTTCAAAGAATCCAGTAAATTATATTTTAAAATATATTCAAATAGAAAGCAGTTATTTTAAATAATAAAAATATTTCACAACATTACTGCTTTTGCTGTATTTTGGATCAAATAAATGCAGGCTTGATGAGCAGAAGAGACTTCTTTAAAAAAACATTAAAAACGGTTCAAAAACTTATGGCTGGTAGTGTATAATGACATATTACTCAGTTACAGCTAAAGCAAACAGGCATTACGCCCATGTGAGGTGAGAACAGGGTCATCCTGTACAGTGTCGATAGTCAACACAGTCGCAAGGCAATAGTGGCTGAAGCGGCTAAACAGGCTTTTAAACCTGCTTTAGAACCTTTCAAAGGTCTTGACATTTTAATAATTGTGCTTTACACAGAAACAGAAGAGTTCACTCTTCTAAGAATTGATGTTGAACAATGTATTGTAGAGGTCGACCGATATGGGTTTTTCTATATTTATATTTGCCGATATTTAGAAATCAGGGCAGCCGATGGCCGAGCGATGACATCGTGGAGGCTACTGTCGGACCCACAGACACATTTCATGAGGAAAGTTAACGTGTACGTTATAATCAGCCCAGAAGTTTCGTCTGAATTGTTTCTACTTTCACATGCAAATGACTTGTTGAACTTATGAATATGATAAGCACGGTCTGCATCAATTCTAGTAGGATAATCAGATAGCACACATACATCTTGGAGACGTCTATTTGACGTCTGCATTTACATCTGGAAGACGTATTTTTTTACAGTGTTTGCTCATCTGCAATACGTCTATGGGATGTTTTCTATCAGATGTCTATTAGATGTCTTTAAGATGTTTATGATTTAGAATGTATGTAAAACTGACATCTTACAGACGTCTGTCAGATGTTTATACACAGCAGATGCTATCCAGATCAAGTGATCTTTAACAGACATCTTGCAGACGTACGTGTGCTATCTTAAAACGTAGTCTCAGCCTCAGACGTCACACCCACGGACCGTTGGCTTCAGCCATCAGTCTGAAGGTCTGGCTACGTGAGACTTACTCTTTCGAAACGGTCTGTTTTGCCCTGCCATCATTAGCTAAAGCTGTATGTGAATAACGGCTGCAGAGTGTGAGCTGCTCACTGTTGCCAACTCTCGCGAGACAAATAAGCAACCGAAGCTTCAAAAACAAGCCCAATATTTTTTAAATTATTTATTATCATCAATATTATTTATTATCAATTACTTATTACCAATAAATGAGCCTGCAACATATTAAACTGAAACTATTCTTTTATCTAAAAAGTAAAAACAAGTTATTTCACAAAAATCAAAGTTGGAACAATACTCATCTCCAATCACCTATGAGCAGAATAGGATTAGAGAGATGGAAAAGGAGAAGAACACAAGAGCTTCAATGGGGAGCTGTAACAGTCACATATTTATAGCCTAATAAATACTTTTTAAAAAATTTTTAAAACAAGTTATTTCACAAAAATCAAAGTTGGAACAATACTCATCTCCAATCACCTATGAGCAGAATAGGATTAGAGAGATGGAAAAGGAGAAGAACACAAGAGCTTCAATGGGGAGCTGTAACAGTCACATATTTATAGCCTAATAAAATATAGTCAAACCAAATGTATATACTGTATATATTACTATAAGCCTACTTGTTAATTTTTATTACAGCCCATGATAATACATTACAAAAACATTGTAAAAATTAACTTATAAAAGAAAGTCATCCTACTCTATTACGTCTACTATCATCACTTGGATTACAGCGTCACGCTCTTTCTTTTTGAACATGATGGGTGGAATATTTGATGAATTATGCTACAGCACTAGTATTATTGCACTAACTGGCCTTTAACTGTGAGCAGACAGTTAAGAGTGTCAATCAATGCATTGGAGATTATGGCGAGCATAAATGTAAAGAAACGAAGTTGCTTGTCAGATTTTCCTAACAAGCAGCCATATTTTTTAAAAGAACCCCCCCAAAAATTTTTTCACGCAACTTTACAAAAAAAGAAGCCCAAAGTTGCGTATAATAAGCGGATTTGGCAACTGTGGAGCTGCTCCGTCTCACGCAGCCAGAGGGAGAGGGATTCTCCGGTACAGCTGCCCGCAGATGCGCCTGCCTATAAATTTGCAGCACAATCGGCTGATGCCGATTCATTTTTAAAATGCCAAAAATCGGCCCGATTAATCGGCCAGCCGATCAATCGGTCGACCTCTAATGTATTGTGCCATCTAGCCTCCTAAGTATCAGTAACACATGTCTTTTAGCTTTGAAATAAAAACAGCACTGCCTAAACCTGTCTGTTTATTTCTTAACTGTAACTGTGTGATTGCAACAGCGTATCTGATGTGAAATAAGCCGTCAGATATACTTCAAAAACAGCTAAATCATGTCCTTAGATGATCTGGATGTCAGCTGTGGTCACTCAAGAACACAGCCTACCAATCCAAACTCCACTTCCTGTTTGATAAGGCCCGTCGAGCAACACAAAAACCCCCGATTTCTCACCTTGAAGTACTTCCATGGGTAAAACTATCCATGCATTCTCTAGGTAGGAGATGTACAGATAGCGTGCGGTGTTACAGGCCAGTCCGATATAAAGGACTCTAAAAAAAAGAACACAATCATGTAATACTTGAATGTCATATTTCATTCATGCAAGTGAAACAATGCTTTTCTGTACAATGAAAATGCCACACTGGGTGTAGCTAAACCTGTTTGGTTTATAAGGCCTATTGTAGTTAAGGCTGGGAGTTGCATTTGCTGGTGATGTCAGTCTCTATTCTGACGCCCAAATGAATGACTCACTCTGTCTTATGTACGGGCTGTGAACGTGACCGCACAAGATCTCGCCAGTGCGAATCTACAAACACTGAATCTCTAACAGGAAAAAACAACGTCAATGTCATTAATGCCAGTTTAATTTGAATGTTTTTTCCTGGAAAACCAATCTAATGAGAGCGCTGGTGCTTTAAAATGAAGCGTCTCATTTCTCTGCTACTGGCATCACTAAGCATAAATTATAGTCTGCATATATTTTCTAAATGCATGTTAGTGTTGTTATTATGAACAATTCATCCATTTAATTCATTCATATTTATGTTTTTAACTAGCCATTTTTAATTAAAACATCATAACACAGGTGACATCTCCAAACATTCAGTTTGCTTAAACCCCACCCTTTTTTTATGATCGCCTGCCAGCTCAGATTGATAATAAAAATATTGAAAAAAAGTCCCTGTCCTACATTTTTTTCTTTTCCAATAATCCTTTTAACTGGGATGTACGTCAAATTACAGAAGAAAGGTCTGTTGCTACTTCCGTTTCAACGCAACTTTAAATAGAATAATGATTTCCAAACAGGTTTCCTAAACACTCTCTCTGTCTGCCATTGGTTGAACAAATACATAGCCCCACCCCAGTCAGTGTTGTTGCTGTTGTCGGACTTGTCAGACCAATGTTTTGCGCCACAGTGTTTACACATTTTGAGGGAATCAACTCACTTACAGTTGTGCTGAATTTACTACTAAATTATATTAAATGAACTATAAAAAAGTGAAAACCTAGCAAATTGTTTTAGAATTATAACCAACAATCTGTGTAACTGGAATGAACATCAAAATACAGAAGAAAAGATCTAGCGCTACTTCCGTTTCATCAAAACATTAATTAAAATAACGACTGTTTCCAAATAGGTTTCCTAAACAATCTCCCTGTCCACCATTGCTTAAACAAACACATAGCCACGCCCCAATCTCACGCCATTGGTTAAGTCAGCATCGCTGTTGTCGGGCTGGTCAGGAAGCTCAAACAGAGCAATGTTTTGCTCCACAGTGTTTACACATTTTGCGGGAATCAACCTACTAATGGCTTACTTATAGTTGTGTGCATTTTAAGCATACTAACACCAAAAAACTACACAAAAATCTTTAAACAGGAGCTTTTAAACTGCTTTCTCCATGCAACTACATGCAAAAAGCAGCTCTGGGAGATAGCCATGCAAATGTTGACTCTACAAATTACAGAGAACATTTCACTGTACACTATTTTGGCTCCACCACACCCTTTGCCTTTAGAAAGCTTTAGAATTGATCCACAAAAGAAGCAAGTTCAGTGGATCAATGCTGGAAAGCCTAGACAATGTGTGATGGGGCTAATGGCAGGATAAAGTTACAGGCCTCTCCGCAGTCATGACTGAAAATAGACGACTTAAAGACTACAGAGACAAAACTGAAGGTATATCACATGGATGAACAAAACATCTTCGTCTCCATAAGAAGATTCTATAAATGATTTTCAAAATGTAGAATACAAGAATTTATTACTAATTTATATTTTATATATACTATAAAAATAAAAATGTAGCAAATTGTTTTATACTTATATAAAATATAATATATAAAATGTTATACAATAAATGTTAATATAAAATTACATCTATGAGATATAAAGTCACACTGTGAAATTTGAAGTAAAAATTGTGAGATAAGTCACATTATGAAATATAAGGAAACAATTGTGATATATAAAATCACAGTGTGAGATATTAAATCACATTGAGATAAAGTTACACAGTGAGAAATCACAATTGTGAGATATAGTCTCTTTGTGCGTCATAGCAGAAGCAGTTCTGCTTCAGTGGTCACTGAAACTGTTGTTTGAGGGTTCTGTATCACAAAACATCTGCTAAATGCTACCAGTTAACATCATTAAAAATGCAAAGACTGAGCCACCAGTACAACTTGAGCTATCTTAAATGGGTCCTATTATGCTTTTTGACTTTTTCAACTTTAGTTAGTCTGTAATGTTGCTGTTTGAGCATAAAAAAGATCTGCAAAGTTACAAAGCTCAAAGTCCACTTCAAAAGGAGATATTTTATTTAACAGAAATCACTTTTCAAAAACTGAAGCTGGCAGGCGGCTATGGTAAGGGGGATGACATTTCCCGCCCGGGCGCCGAGTGGTCCCAATCACAACACACACTGGCCCAGCTAACCAATCACAGCACATTTCGTATTTCAGAAGGCGGGCCTTCATTTGATACAGGAACTATTCGAGCCGTTCATGCTAGACTGAGGAGAGAGGTGTTGTAATCATGCAAAATATGTGAAAAAGAATGTGTTTTTCGAACAACCTAGTATGAGAGCCTAGTACACCCCAAAACAAAATCAAGACTATGTAAAAGAGCATAATAGGACCCCTTTTAAGGTGATTCATCTTGTTCACTCGGATGAGCCGGTGCTCTGGGAAATACCACACACTTGAGAAATACCACAAAGCAGACTGAGGATGTGAGCAAACCTTTCCATGTGCCTGTTTACCAGTGCCCACATACACATGGTAAACATCCTGGAAAAGGGTGGCCTGCATCTTGGTTGTACATTGTGTGCCCAGGCTAGGCAGTGCCCGTTTAGAGCTTAGCCAAAGTCAACAATACTTAATGAGACACATTAAACAACCTTTGGACTTTCTGAGTGAGCCTAATGTACACCACTATGACAAAAATATGCCAGTCTATATGTGTTAACACAGACATGGCACAATAAATAAGTGCATTTACATCACTTTTGACCAGATGCTCTTGGTCGTATTCTCATAATATTGAGCAACCAGGATATGGTAACCATTACATGAAGGCGGTGCTTGGGCACAGGTCCAAAATACATAAAGTACCATACTAAAATAAAATGGTTGGCTCCGCCCATACAAAGATTTGCTCAACACTAAACCCTGAGCATATATGAGTGTTTAGCTTTTGTGAACATCAGAGGCCACCTGTCTATGATATACCAAATGCATAGTAGATTGTTCAACTGAATATCAATACATCAGAATGTAATGACAACATCAGGAAAAATATACCTTTCCATGCACTTTAAACTAAACTTAAAATTCTAAAAATAAAAGCTAATTAAAAATTTTCATAAATACTTCAAATATAAATAACACTATTATTTATATAACTATATACTAAAAAAATACTGCTTCCGAAGATGTTTTCTTCATGGCTGTGGCTACCAATAGATTTTTACTGACACTTCCTAATTAATATATATGAATATATTTTCTGGTAAAACTGCAACCAAGCAGTTCATTCATCCTGCCCAATTTTTGGACAACAATTAAAATACTTAATTGAGCTATGTTTTGATTGGGTACGGTTTAAAGAAACAACTACTGTATAACTGGCAACATAGAAGGGTGTTCACAATGACAGCGGAATCTTCATAGGCGTCTTATGGGTTCACACAGGATGCATTCTTAAGAACAACTTAAAAACATGGGGCTAAAAGTAAGCAAGACATGATGCACCAGTTAAAGACATCATCTAATGCATGTTTACGTAGAAAAATAATTAAAAGCAGCAGAATAGAACACAAAAATGCTTTCTGTGTGAACTGGCTCTCACTTGACCTTAGTATCCAACTCGTATCAAGTGGCAGAACATGATCCGCACTTCCATTAGTTGCCGCTGCTCATTTGCATAAAAGTTGAAGTGTGCACAATTGTCTACTTAATTGCTCAATTGTCTACTCTCACTGAAACTGACTGACTCTTGGTTTCTACAAATTGCTTTCAGTGTGAATGTCCCAAATAACAGGAGAAGCCTCGGCCAACCACTTGCATTGGAAGTGGACTAAACAGACATACAAGCGGTAAGTGGTTATCCTACTTTGTCTAGCACATGCAAACCTGCCTTTAAACAAATCAAATATGACTTCTAAATGCGAGTTATGCCATTAAATTAATATTCATAATCCAAGCCCCTACTTTCCAAATAGAAAAACCTTCAATACAAGTGCAGTTTAGTATAAAATATGCCATATATTTCACATAATTAGGTTCCCACCTGATGTGTCCAACAAGCTCAATGAGTTTGTGGCTGATGAAATAAGCGGCCAGCTCAGACACGTGACTGAGCACCGAGCAGATGCCAAAGAGAGTGGTGGTGCCCTTCAGGTCCTCCAGATGCCAATAGAGGAAGGTGAAAACGAAACCGTAACCAAACCCCATGAACCAGGCCACAAAGAGAACCGTACCATACTGGATGCCACAAATGGTCCGGAAGAGATCTTTGAAGGGAAAAGGTTGCGGGTTGCTTTCTGGGCAAACGGGTGCATCATCTGGGCTGGACTCTGGAGACGAGACTTCCTGAACGACTTGAGGTATTTCCACATCCTCCTTCTTGTCCTCTTCCTCATCTGACTGATAAACCCTGTTGTCAAAGTGGAACTGCGTCGCCACTATCAGCGCTGAGGTCATCAGGACTCCAAAAACGATGAACGCAATTTGGTAGTTCTTGTAGATGGGCAGGTCACAACCCGAGCCCTGGATGAAGATAGTGATGTGCGTGTGGTCGATCCAAATGCCCACTGACAGCATAGCGATACCCCATCCCAGAGATCCCCACATTCTCTGGAGTCCATAACGATCTCGGTGTTGTCCCAAGTACTGAAGAGTGACGGTGTCCACAATGGTCACAGCCGGGGCGCTGAAGAACTCACCAATGATAATGACCAAGAGGATCAAGAGAAATATCGTATCTACTTGTTCCTTATTAAAGACTATGAAATACTCTTTGAGTTTGGCAGTGGTAGCTTGTGTTTCAATTGTCGAGGTAGATTTTGACGTTACTGTCGAGGTACGGGGCGAAGCTGTTGACGAGTTAGACAGCATAGTAATGCCGACAGGATTCTCTGTGGAGTTTCCAGAGGGAGTGCTTGTGGTATTCACATTTGCACTTCGAATGTATCTAGTGCGAGGTCCATATGCTGCTAATATTGGCTGAGAAAGCGGAGGAGCAGAGTACACATCCTCAATCAAGTATCTTCTTTGTCTGGTATGGTTACTAGTTTGCGTATAGTTTGTAAAATTGCTTGGTGTCGCAACAGTAGGGTCCTTACTGACACAGGTCATAGCTGCTGGCTTGACAAAGCCGATACCGCAGTTAAAGACCACCCAGCAGAGTACAGAAAACAGCAACACCGCCTTCCCTTTCTTGTAGCGGTCCGCCACTACTCCCCAGAAAGGCGCACTGCAGAACTCTATAAAATAACGGATCCCAACTAGCAGGCCACTTTGGCTGGGTGTCATTCCCAGCTGCTTGTAGTACACAGCAAGCAGGGGGTGTAAAGAGCCATATGCGGAATAAAAGAAGAAGTAGAAGACCTTGGAAATCAAGAGATGATTGTCTATTCGCACACAGCACCTCTCTGTGCAGTCCATATTCTGAGAGGGCTGAGAAGGGTGTGTGTCAGTGGGGGCAGGCGGTGCTGTTTGACCGGATGGTGTAGTGTTTGCCACCTGCCCCAGGGACAGAGTGTTAAATGGTTCAGACAGAACATATTTCCTTTTCTGGTCCTCCTCATCATCCGTAAGGATGGCCACCCGATCACTCGCCATTTCTGTGAGATAGACATAAATATCTATTAAGGACATTGGATAATGTCTTCACATTGTAGCTTTAACTAGCAATTTTCAAATGTTGGGGGCTTGGGGCATAACCATTTGGTCAAGATTTGGCTGTTTTTTGGGACCAATAAGTTGGTAAATCCCATAACATTACCTTGAAGAACAAAAAAAAAACATATTTTCCATTGACTGACACTGAGAATTCTGGTTCTTTTTTTTTTTTTTTGCTAGCAACAAATTCATTGAAAATATTTCCCAGTTTTACAGTACATATTTTGATGTTTTATGAGATATTTTTTTCCTTGTCTGCTGTCTTTCACATCATATTATGTAACCTTGAAGAGGTTGAGACATTCTTGCTCAGCCAATCAGCATTGTCACGATGTCATTTTCCTGCACCTCTGATTAGGTACCTTGCATTTATGGGTCAGGTGATTGGCTCAAAAAAATAATAAACAAATAAATAAATAAATAAAAATAACCCAAAACAACAACAAATAATCCTATGCAAAGTGTCCATGAACAAAGATAGCCGATTTATAAACACATACTTATGGGCTCATAATGTTCATAATGCAATGCTCATTGAGCATAATAGGCCATTATCTAAAATTATCAAATTATCTATTATAAAAATAAAAACGGTAAAAAAATAAACTTCCAGTATGTTTTCTTTGTGATGTCAAAGCCTGTAAATCACACTATTGTATTTTATGTGTTAAAATGGTCTATTTTTCTATTCACCCATGCTAATAATTTGCATATCATTGTCTATATAGTTCAAAAGAATACTGATACATTTCAGTGTTTAATATTAAGTACATAATTGCTTACTTTTGTGCATTAAACAGTTCTGATACAGTCACCAGTCACTCTATGTCCAATGAAGCAAAACAGTTCATTTTTTAATTTCAAGTTAGACTAATGGATTTTTTATTTTTTTTACCTGATTCTAAATCTATGTTTACATAAGAACACCTTTACACACCTTTTGTCATCAAACAGATTGACCTTAAACAAAATCAATTCAGTAACTGCCCTTGACTCACAATAATAAAGAATAAATATAATTACACATCAAGTTAATATAATGTTGAATATCAGGTAGTATTAGTAAAAACTACATTCTTAGGAATACAATTAAGAGGTGGAGATTTTGGGCTGTGGAATGAAATTAAGTACAGTCAACATTCAAAAACGGTAACATCATAATAAACTTCACAGGGTGTAGTCCCTTCTGAAAATGAGTAACACACAGCCTAGCCTGTATTAACAGTGCATATTGCACAAACACAATGCCTACATGTAGTTACAAACACAACTGATCATCCATTATTTTTCTTGTACAATGTTTCAGTATAAAACAGGCAGCGGTGTGGCTCACTTACCCGGTTGTTGTGTGGAAGTTTATGTTATTTCACCGTCTGGCGTTGGAGGACGATCCCTTCAACAGACTGCTCTCTCCGTCCAGTCATCATTTTATCACCATCCTGGATTTTTGCTCACTTTCTATGAACAATCCTCAAACAGCGATGTATTCCGGTAGAGCAAAGGAGCAGGTTTATTGTACGGCCGTTTACATCCGACCTGAAGTCAATCTGTCACCTGCCTGCGATGTGCGCAGCGGCAGTGTGTTTGTGGCACTGCCTTTATTTCCACTGATGTCATTAGCAACTGTGACACCCTATTTCGTTCTTCAGTTCCTGAAATGGTGTTTTAAATTTAAAGTTTTCCGTATAGTATTTGCCCAAGAGCAGATGCCATGTCTAAGATCAGTCAAATGTTGATGATGTTTATGATTTTTAATTAATCAAAATAGGCTGTAGTATAGTTTAATATAGTTTATATTAACTTCTAGGTGGAGTAAAATACTTCTGTATGAACCACTTATTTTAATATTTGATTTCTATTTTTAATATATTTTTTTTCTGGTTAGAAATGATAGCAAACCCATTTATTTTGACCAGCGAACTCATCCAGTAGCCATGCAACAAACCAGCTCTAGAGATTGTGATAAAACAGCGACATCTACTGGCGCTCAATAAAGTGGAAATGAAAAACTGACCATGACCTGAAATACAAAAAGCAGCTACCAATACTTTCAGTAGTTATTTTAATACATAATATCTAAATATTAATCTAACCTGTCTCGTATTTTCTGCCACAAAAATAGGCTGTAGTATAGTTTAATATAGTTTATATTAACTTCTAGGTGGAGTAAAATACTTCTGTATGAACCACTTATTTTAATATTTGATTTCTATTTTTAATATATTTTTTTTCTGGTTAGAAATGATAGCAAACCCATTTATTTTGACCAGCGACCTCATCCAGTAGCCATGCAACAAACCAGCTCTAGAGATTGTGATAAAACAGCGACATCTACTGGCGCTCAATAAAGTGGAAATGAAAAACTGACCATGACCTGAAATACTTACAAAAAGCAGCTACCAATACTTTCAGTAGTTATTTTAATACATAATATCTAAATATTAATCTAACTTGTCTCGTATTTTCTGCCACAAAACACTGTCAATCAGAATGACTGACAGCATCAAACTTGAACGTATACATTTAGGCTACAATAAATATAAGCATTACAAACTTACAAAGCATTACAATACAATACAGTATACATACAAGCTATTAACAGCAGCTTTAATTATATATTCCGCTACAAAAAAAAAAGAAGAGCCTAAGTTCTAGGACTCAAATCTGTGAGTCATTTTGTTATCTGTTAATTTTCATGAACCGCCCGAAATTGATTCTCTAGAATGAATCGTACTCCCAGCGCTACATGAAAAAGAGAACCGAGTACGAGGAACCGATTCACCGAGATGAATTTCCAACGCAACATATGAGAGCGAAGACCGAATAGAACGAATCGATTCGCCAGAATGAACGTCTGATCGACGTCAAAGGCCTTGCGTCCTATCAAACCAACGCAATTTGGCGCAAATTCACCTTAGAAGCTAAAGAAGAAGTCACTTAGGCCGACACCAACATGGAAAGCAAATGTGATATTTCTTCATCCTCGAAAACGTTCAACAAAACTTAACAAGGTAAAAAAAATCTTATGTAGACTAACGTTACGTTAAATATGGGTTCACTTGCAACGAGGAAAAGTTTGATATTGAAACTTCGCGTTGCTAACCTGTAACGTAACTCTCAAATATCGCCACAATGAAAAGAGACATGTAACCGAATAAGGTATTTTACCTTTAACATACGTTTAAGGTTAAAAAATGGCACATATAAAATGGTCTGATATGTTTAAATGTAAATGAGCTAATGTACATAATTTGCATGAATGCACAAAACTATAACGTTAGTCAAAAAATAAAATGTATAAGTTACCCGTCATACAAGCAGGATGAAAGATACAGGCTATTAATTGAAAATGTAATATTTAATTGCTTTGAACTAGCCTATGTAATATTTCTTTAAACAGTGTACTAGCATTTTTAAACATGCAACATTGTACAGTTTACCTTATTCAGGACTCCATACAGCTGTTAACTGCCTGTATCCAAGTGGTATTTATAATGCTTACTGAAGAATCTGTGAATGGCTTTTTATAAGCCAGGGTTTAGATGTGCATCTCATAGTAATCTTTACACAGCTACACACACACTGGCACATATATGGTTACAGTACTGTGTGTGCGCCTGTATGAGACAAGATGTCTTTCTAGTCGAAAGGGCATTTTACATTCATCATGTGCTCAACATGAAGTGCTGTTTTGCTTTGAAAACACTTTCAAGGTATAAACCTGCACTCTCCTAAATGGCCTTGATGGTGATACTGTATGCATAACCATCTAATATGAGTAAAGCAGGGCTTACATAGGCAATAAGGCTAATGCAACCAAAAAGAAAAGCAGTCACAAGCCATGCACTCAGATTATATAGCCTGTTGTAAAACCAAATAAATAGTTGCCTTTGATAATGAATGCTGATTTTATCTTACAAATTGGTGTATTGATTAAATGCGTCAAAGCCATTATTATTGCTTCTCTAGTTTGAGTCTTAACTGATGTTACGGTTTTATCTGAATTAGAGTCGCCTAAGTTTTTACTGGAAGTTAACTTTATTGTGCATGTGATAAAAATCAAAATTTGTTTGGGAGAAAAACTTTGAGTTGCTAGCACTATATATTAGCTGTTGATTAACTTCAAATTGTTTTTATTGTTCTGATGTAAAGGTCAAAAATACTATCCAATTTCATAATGACCACTAATAAATCTGCTAGATTATGGGAATGTGTCTGTACACTGATCTGTCAAAATTTCTCTATTTTTGTATTCCGCAGAAAAATGAAAGTCGTACAGCCTGGGAACAAAACGAGGGTGAGTAAATGATGAAAGAATTTTTATTTTTGGGTTAACTTTCCCTTTAAATGTGAAAGAATTGTTTGGATTCTTCCAAGGCTTTTTAACTCCCCCTAAATCATATATAAACATGTTAAAATGAGTGATTACTAGTTTTTAAAAATCATTTTATAGAGACTAAGTGTCTAGATGATGAAGTATTTTAGAGCTGTAAATAACTACAAGATTTATATACACTATAACTCATATTGTGAGTATCATATTTTCAGTGCATTTGAGATTTATCTGTAAAATGTTAAAGAATGGCTTATATTTTGCTATTTTTTGTTATATATATATTTTTTGTTTTTTGTTATATTTACATTTTTATATTTTCTGTTTTAATTTGAAAGTTTTAGTAGTTTTGTTGTGTGTTATTGTAATGTTTATAATTATTTATGTCTTTAAAGGTTTTATTTTTTCAGTTTTAATTATTTTGGAACATCAAGGTCAACTAAATTAAAATGAAAAATAAAATGTTGAAATAAAAAGATTTTCTATATTATATTTGATTTTGGTTATAGCTTATTTTATTTCAAGCAACAGATTTATTTATTTATAAAGGTTTTAGTTTAAGTTAACTATAATAACCATGTTGTCTTGAATCCTGATACTGTTGTCCAGTGTCCATATTATCACATCACACATTTTAGGGAACTTTTCAATTCTTCCACCAAAAATTAAGTTGACTTATATTTGGTCATTGTTAGTCTTGTTTTGGGAATCGATATATCTAACTGCTGATTTATTCGAGCTGAATATGAGAAATGTGATCTCCAGTGGGCAGCTTCTATCCTTAGTGACATCACTGAGGAAACACCCTAATTATGAGGGTATCTTTTCAACCAGCAGGGGGCGATGTTTTACACACACACCAGACGCTCCACTCATCACGGCATCACAGCGCTCTCCTTCCAGCTTTAAGTGAGACTCGACCACACGTAAGTGTAACTCTTCTATTCATTGTTGTCCATTAACGTCATCATTCTTGTCACCAGTGTCACTATGCCTGCCATTCATCCACGCCTTTTCCAGTCATTTCAGCCCCTAAAACAGTGTCCAGCTGAAACATCTGCTATCTCCCCTATTGTGTTAGAATAGTAAAGTGTTGTATCTGCCTCCCCTGTTCCCTCCCACTCACTCAGAGACTTGTGCACCATCCACACATTTGCTCTCAATTCAGCAATCCAGAGAGCGATGCTGTTTCTATGACAACTGGTTCTGCAGGACAAACTGCAGAGAGGATTTTCCTTTCAAAGGGGGTTCCAAGGAGAAGGCACATGCTTAGCATGAAATTCAGCCCTCTGAAATCTTTTACTTGTTTCTGATCTCATTTTAAAGTAGGGAAAATGAACATCAGTCATCTGTTGAACGTACTAGAGGGTTGGCGGTTTGTGAACACTCTGCTGGTGTTAAACGTATCTGAGGTAAAACATTCACAAAGCTGTGAAAATTGTCATATTGTACATTTTATACAAATCTGTATAAATAGCCCTGATACATGCATTATATTGTATCATTGGATACAATATTATTTTGAGTTATGAACTTGATGTCTACTGTACACATTTAGTTAATAAGTGATAGAATAATATATCATCCATGCTGATTGATCAGTCAGTGTTTTAACTTTTTGAATTAATTGCATAGGCAGCTAACTGCTGCTGAATGAACAAAATCCAATTAATATAAAAAAATCTCTTTCTCTCTCTCTCTTTCTCTCTCTCTCTCTATATATATTTATATATATATCAAAAACCTACAGGGTAGCATTGTTGGTGAATAGTGGACATTTTTTATGTTTTCTATTTAGTGAATTTAAAATAAATAAATATGTGAAATGAGTTTGTTAAATATATATATTTTATTATTAATTCACATTATTATTAATTTGCTACTCATTTAAACACATGGAACAATGCTGAAATTTGATATATGAATGATTTATGATTTATATTTGAATAAATGAGTGTTTAACACCAGCAATTGTGTACATCTTATTTGCTGTTATAAAATAGTCATTTATAAAGTTTTTATTTGTGTGTGTGTGTGTGTATATATATATATATATATATATATATGAAGAAGAGTTTATTTGCAAATAACAGATAACTCAATTTTTTTAAATTCCAAAAATCATGTTTTTTATTATGCTATCATGTTTTTATTGTGTTTTATTATGTTAGCGTTATTTTTTTGTTATTTTTTACACAGTAACCCAACTGCAGTTTGACTGAGATTAATTGGAATGCACAATGAAAAAACATGATTTTTGAAAATAGTTAAAAATGGAGTTATCTGTTTTTGCAAATGATGAGCTTTATTCCGAACCCCTCCCTCATTAGGCCCCCATGTCACACTCTCTGAAGCTTGTGATTGGCTGTGAGTGCCAGGGGAGAAGATGAGGGGCTGGGCCAAAGCATCCGGGCTGTCCAAAAAATTTGACCTATCAGGGTACAGCTGTTCCTTGATGACTTAGTGGGACTTGTCTGTCACCTCCCCGGGGGGACATGCGAGTGGAGGGAGGGGGCTAACTTGGAGGGCAAGGGGACGAAAGTCTGGGCACCGCAGGCACAGAGTTGGAAACCCATTGGAAATCCAGCGGTCATTTTTTTTCCCTTAGATCCCGAAGAACTGGGGGACCTGAATCTGAGGGTGAAAAGCTGAGGCCAAATCTTCCAAAAGGCAACAGGGGTAGCTGCTAATGCAATATGATCCTCAGGGACTCGCTCTAAAAATACCATCCAGCCAGGAGTACATGCGCAAGCTACATTCGCCTAATTGGAGAAAGATTAAACATTTTGTTTTCAGATTCTCTAATTGGACATCTCAAGGATTTGAGAAACATATTCCAAAACATTTATGATGCAGAAAACCTGTGGGAAATTTCTACACACTTTTTTTTTTTTGACATTTCTACTTGCCTGAAGGCCTTTCAGAAGGTCTTCTGTTAATGCACGTAGAGATTTCCACTTTTCTAAGAAGTCATATTATAAGTAAGTATTGCATTTAACTGGTGTTGATAACCTGGAGTGTAGTCTTGCATTTGATGATGTCTGCTTGAATGTTTGGAATATGTTTACCATATCAAAACTCCAAATTATGAAAAGCTCTTTTATTTTTGGACAATTTATTGTGCATTAGAGATACTTGAAGCTTCAATCAGTTTGGTAACGTGTAGCAGTCCGTAAAGAAGCTCTCCACTGGATCATGAGGAAAGCTGAGGTTCAGATGACCCTGAAGAAGGGTGCTGATGAAGAAGCAGGAGGAATGGCTCCTCCAAGTCCCAGGATACCATCAAAACGGGCAAAAGTTAGTTCAGATCAGGTCGTACCAGACCCTGCTGCTTCTGTCTACCCAACCCCAACTCCTCCAGTGTTTATCCGGAAGATGAGGAACGCTGCGGTAGGTACCGGCTGTGATATCCGTCTGAAAGTGGCTGTGGCTGGAGACCCACAACCTACCCTCTACTGGTACCACAATGATGACCTGCTCAACATGGATAACCAGGAATACGGAGGCTTGTGGATCAGGGACTGCAAACCCAGTGATGCTGGCCTGTATACCTGCATCTCCACCAACCATCTTGGAGAGGTCAGAAGCAGTGCTGTCCTTGCCGTTTTGGATTTGGGTGAAGGTAACTACGAATGTAGCTATGTTAATGTAATACTAATGTTTCATTTTGAGAACTCAGACTACCTACATCCTTGTAGAAGTGACTGGAACATAAGATCCCCAACATAAGAACATTGTGCCCGATTATCAAGCTTATGTGGCTAATTATCGAGTTTAGGCTTCAGAGAAAAAGGTGGAAGGCAGACGTTCTTGCTCACCAAAACATGATATGTGATAATTTGCTAAAGGAGTAACACATCCCTCTGATGTGTCTCACAAAATGGTGGCTAATCCAATTACAGAAAATAAAGTGAAGTAGCCTCTCCTCCTTCTTCAGTCACTTTGTTTGGTTGGGGTTCCATTGTGGCAGTTACCTCAAGGACCTGTTTGGTGGAAGAGGGTGGAATGATGGGGGCAGCTGATGGGCTGAGACAAACTGCTCAACCGTCCCAAAGTAGAGCTGTGAAATTGCCGCCCCCCAAGTCAGGGTGCTTCGTCTTCTCCTCTGAAGGTTTTAAATAAGCATTTCGCCTTCTTACTAACCTGGAAATGAAGAGGAGGTTTCATGTGCCCTTTGCAATTACCTTTGGGCAGAAATGTAGCAGATATTGTTTTCTTTTACAGTCTAAAATGTGTCTCAGTAGTAATGTACAAAGATTCCCAGAGAAACTATATGTCTTTACAAAGAATGTGCGAACAATAGGCTGGGCAGTATAGCTAAAAAAAGTTATTGCTATATTTTTCAGCCTTGCAACAAAGACAACAGTTGCAATATTTGTAACGATGCTTAATTTGATCTAACCAACAAAATTATCACACATACATCTTGAATTTTCAGTAAATCACTTAACCCTAGGAAATAATAGTGAATTGTATCTTAATACTTCATTTGTAATTTTGTCAGAAAGGAATAAGTGGTATATTGTTTTAGTTGTTCAGGTTACGAGAATACTACTTTTTGTGCGCAAAAGAAAAAAAAACGACTTTATTCAACAATCGTCATCGTCTCCTCCTCATCACCCTGGTGCCATTTTGGAGAATATCCGCTGGATGTAAACAACGTATGCTATTCTGTGTCAGCTGCGTCATGCCTACGTTGTTGTGATTTGATCTGAACGGAAACAGCGTATCCGTGTGACGCAGCTGACACAGAACAGCATACGTTGTTTACGTTTCTCCAAAATGGCACCATGGTGATGCGGAATGAGGGTGAGTAATTAATGACAGAATTTTCATTTTTGGATGAACTAACCCTTTAATTAATTGGTTTTGGATCAGTGCTGTGATGAGAGGTGATGGCGTCCAGCTTCAGATGTGTTTAGATGGATTAGCTTTGTCTCCTTGTTGTCCTTCACAGTCACAGTGCTGAACTGGCCACGTCAGAGCACATCATTCTGACAGTGTTATGATTGCCACTAACATTTATCGCCAAAGTGCTCAGCAATGCAGGCGCCTTTTATGACTCTCATTGGATTTGGGTTTCTCATTTGCACTCCATCAACAGAAATAGTGTAGGTGCTTTATGTAGCCAAGTCAAACTTTCACCTCTACTGTACTTGCAGCATTCTCTTTAAATGCAAAATTGTTGTATGGTGTTTATTGCATTCAGTGTTAATGGTTGACATTTAATGATCTTCTTTTGGGTTTTAGATTTTTTAAGGGTTTGTTAAATCTCATTGGACCCAGTTTAGTTTTTGTAGTGCCAGGACTTTCAACTTTAGGGTCTCTGGACCTCTGGAGGTCCCTGAGTGTATACTCCAGGAGGATCTGTGGAGAAGATATTTTGTATAAGGCATACAGAACTAAAATTTCTGCTACTTTTCCCTTTTTTTTAATGGCTTGAGAATCTGGGCGTGTAAAGGTTGAAAACTGTTCTAAGGCAGTGGTTGTTCTCAATAGGTCGCAATCTAATAAAAGATAACCATATTATTGTGCATAGTTATGATAGCAAAATAAATAGCTGTCTTTTAGTGCATTTATAGTACAATATTTTTTCTTAAGCCTATGTCATGCTAATTTATTTGGTTGACTGTTGACGGTTCATAGTAATATTAAGATTTTTCAATTTGGTTTTTAGTGCATTTTTCTTAACATTTTTTTTGTCAAACAATTTTTATGCCCAGTAAATAAATGGGTCCTGAAGCAAAACCAGTTAAAACCCACTGATCTAGAGTATGTGTCTATGACGTCTGTAGTCATGATGCATGTGTCAATCCTCTGGACAACTTGTGGTGTTTACACCTGTCTTGTCACTCAGCTAAATGCCATATGTCTTTCTTTCTCTTTTGCTTTTCTTTCACAATGTCTTTTTTTCTGCCTCTTCCTACCCATTGTTATCCTCCCTTTTCTTTCTTTTCGGTCTTTCTGGAGTCTATATTGTTTTGTTTTACTTCTTTGTCATTCTGACCATTCCCAATCTATGAATCTCTACTTTTTCTCTCTGTTCTTATTTCTGCATTTCTTACGCTTCCCCCCCCCACTTCTTTGTCTTTTAATGTCTCTCCTGTCTTCTTGGCCTGAAGGACCATCTCTACCCCTCTGGTTATTTCTGACAGTGGAATGTGCCAGGCTTGAGATTTTTGTGATGTTAATAGGCCACTCATTCTCCGGTTACACAGGAAGACATCACAGCTATATATAGGCCTTCAGCACAGGAGTTTTGCCTAGACCTTATTCAATTAGAGTCAGTCTGAATGAGGGGGAGAGTATGTTTTTGCCTGATTTAAAATTGTAAAATACTGTCATTACATGAATGGTAAAAATAGCCTGCTTTGAAATAGTCAGTGCTGTCTGAGAATCATTACTGATGTAGATTGTGAGGCAAGACACCAGCCTGACTTTGGCTGGTGACCATCATGTTTAAACATAGCAAACAAGTATTTCACAGTGGGTTGCACTAATAAGGACTTAGATTTATGGTTATTATAGTTTTAATCATGTGCATTCATTAATATAACCTCTGAATTTCAGTTAGAGATTTAGTTGAATGTCTTTGATCTCAATAACTGTTGCAACAGTAGGATTTTTTTTCTTTAAAAATCCCTTTACTACATACGAGTACTTGCAAAGGCTGTTTCTAATGTCACTAAAAAAGGAAGTTCCTTTAACCTTACTGCCATTTATGGTGAATCAATCATGGCAGACAATCACATTTAATCACAGGTTGAAGGTTTAATGACTGATTTGTTAAGCCATGTTCAAATTTAAGTGCAACACGGCTTGAATTAAAATAAAACCTGGATAAACAAACCCCTTTGCGGTGTAAGTCGTTATTGGTGCAGCCTACCCTTAGCCGTTAAATCTGTAAACATGCAACAGCAATGTATATTTCTGGTCTGCTTTAGGGATGCTCCGATCCGCCTTTTTCGCCTCCGATACCGATTCCGATACCTAGGGTTCGGTATTGGCCGATACCAGTGTAGTTTTTTTCCCTCATTTAATAACATTCATGAATGTATTTATATATAAGTATATACTATAAAATTAAGATACATTTCTTTTTAAATGTATAGCATATACATTTTTAATAAGGCAACAACATATGATACGATAGGACAAAACAAATACAGTGCAGCACAAACTGTTTTTATACAGTCAACCCTCAACGGACACCTTGGCAACTGAATCGCCATTGGCTAGTATATATATTTTTTTACTCGCCAGACTGAAATACTATACTATACACTATCGGAGCCGATACCCGATATGAATATCGGATCGGCGCATCCCTAGTCTGCTTCAGCTGACACTCAAACCGAGAGTACTTATATTCATCCTCAGTGAATAGTTATCTTGCAAAGTGCCTGCTGTCTCTGTCTCTTCAGGGAACATTTCACCTGTAATTGCTCTGTGCATTACGGAGTGCTTTTTCTAATATGGATGTTTCAAACTGCTGGGGTGGGAAAAACCAGTATGGAAATGATGTACAGAGAGAAAAGTACATCTGGATGTAGAGAGAAACATCAAAATGTACAGCTTTATCATCTTGTTGAAGAGAGTTGCTTACATAGCCTTAGTTTTCTCTTTACTTGGAGTCTTTACTGTTGTTTTTTATTTGAAACGTAGCTTTCTTTCAAGCGCTTCTCAAGGTCATTAGCTTAAAAATTACAGTTGAAATTCTTGTATGTTAATGAATGTATATGACATGGATTGCATGGCTTTCTCAATGCAAAGCAAAGAAAGTCTCAAAACGTTTGCATTTGCATTTGGGGGGAAGCAGTAAGGGTGTGGGATTTGGCTTCAGCCCACACACTTAGCAATAATTGCATTGAAAGGAGAGCATTCTGTTGGCTATGCACAACTTTCCATCGGCCCCAGAGGTCAAAATGTCCACACAAATGCTCAGTGAAGTGTGTAATGAAAGGTCTCAGACATCATTTATATTTTAATCCAAATGGAAATTATAATCCCCGATAAATTGCATGGATTTCAAAGGATTTCGCTTGTTTTGCTAATGGACCCTCGCAGAGTGATAAAGTTATTAATTTGTCATCAGCACGTATGACTCATGGAAAATTACTAGAGCGGTTGAATATTGTTTTGTTCTTTTATGGTAGGTGAAATGCAATTTCACCATTTGCAAAGAGGATGATAGAGGGGAAGTAATAACAGTGCTCAGTAGTTGATTTTATATAAAAGGGCATCTACGCACAATCACACTCAAAATCGTACATGCGCACACACATGCTGTGGTACATTTTGTCGCTCTCTCTAACAAAGCACACAGCTGTGCCTCCCTCAGTCATTCATTTTCTGCCTATTACCAGCTTTTCTTTGTCCAGCTGAGAGGTTGTGTTGTTGCATTGCTCGTAGGTGGATATGAATCAATACTGGATGCAAAAAGACTAATTCAGTGCATTGGAATAAACTTGAGTTAATATGCATTTATTCTGTTTTGTGTAGTGATTCTGATGAGTTGAAGCATCCCTCAGGCTGCACTGAAACGTTATTGCTTTTCCAATCTGCTATTGGCGACATTCTGCATCGCTAGAAAGCCCATTTCCTCTGCACTTTGAGACAGTT